ATCAACAGTTCCGTAAAGGAGCTTTTGGTCGGCATCGGCCGGGTGCTCGGTCAAGGTCCTTGATGGCCTTCTGCAATTCATGGACGCGACCAAGGATCAAATTTGCATCACGATGCCACCTCTCTGCCTCACTCTTGGTCGTCTCAAAGCTGACATCTTTGAGCAAACCCTCACTCGCTTCAGCCTTGCAAAACGTCCAAGCCGAGCTCCTTCAGATCCAGAGATCCCAACAGCACGGTCGTCACAGAGTTCCCCACTTTGCCCTCTACAGAAGGCGCAGCAATCAGTCCCCTCTCCACAGATGCTGTGCCTGCCACGAAATCTGCACATGCAGGTTCACAAAGTGCTGTGCCTGCCACGAAATCTGCACCTCGAAGTTCACAAAGTGCTGTGCCTGCCACGAAATCTGCACATGGAGGTTCACAAAGTGCTGCGCCTGAAACGAAATCTGTACATGGAGGTTCACAAAGTGCTGCGCCTTTTGACATCTGCACATGGAGGTTCACAAAGTGCTGTGCCTGCAACGAAATGTGCACCTCGAGGTTCACAAAGTGCTGTGCCTGCCTGCAGGACATCGGCACATCGAGGTTCACAAAGTGCTGTACCTGCCAGGACATCTGCACAGGGAGGTTCAGCACTTTGTGAACCTGGAAGTCCAGATTTTGTGGCAAGCGCAGCTCTTTGTGAACCTCCATGTGCAGATGTCGTGGCAGGCGAAGCACTTTGTGAACCTCGAGGTGCAAATTTCGTGGCAGGCACAGCTAACCGATCCAAGAACTGCATAAAAGACTTTAATTGCGCAAGGAAGCAGGAGAATTCCAATCAGTTCAGCTGACAGTCTGGCAGTCTGATGTAAGACATGTTTGATAATGCAGAGAAGGAAAGAAAAGCAAATAGAAGGAACAGGTCTAGATCTCGATGCATGGTTGACTCAACTTTTATGAAAGTAGAATATGGGCAAAAGTCGAAGTCTTTGTAATACAATTGAAAAAGTAGTAGTCCTTGTTGTCCTGGTCTCATCACGGTACTGTAGAGAAAGCGTGACATTGGTGCAAGCATTGGACAGCGATTTGGTCCTGGGAGGGGACCAATCCCGATTGAATATTGAAATTTTCTTTGTGATCAAAGCATCTCTGATGACCAATCCCGGTTGGTCTCAATATTGGTCAATATTGGTCAATAGATATTGGTCACTATTGGTCATTAGATATTGGTCAATATTGATCGTGGAGATCCTGTGGAGTTCCTGTGGAGTTTAGAATCCTGTGGAGTTTCTGTGGAGTTTAGAATCCTGTGGAGATCCTGTGGAGTTCCTGTGGAGATCCTGTGGAGTTTAGAATCCTGTGGAGATCCTGTCGAGTTCCTTTTGACATTGATATTGGTCATGTACACTATGTTGATATTGGTCAATATTGGTCATATAATATAGGTCATTTAATATTGGTCAATATCGCCAATCCTCGATATTGAAAAAAACAATCCTACGATTGGTGTTTTTCAAGTTCAATCCCGATTGGTCAATATTGGTAATATTGAAAACTTTCAATCTCGGATTCACAGGGATACGGTATACGGGGCAGCTGCGGTGGTCCGTCCCGCGCGTCTTGACTTGTTTTGAGAGTTGCTGGGTGTGAACAATTGGCCAGTTGGTTCAGCGTGAGAACATGAGGTTTCTTGCACAGGTGCACTGGGAATGGATTTGACATGGTGCAACTTTGCTGAAAGTGTTTCGGCTGAATGTGTCAACAGCTGCAGCACTATGGGGAACTCATGCTGCGCGAAAGGTGGTTGAGCGTGAGCAGGAATGTGCTCTCAGATGCTCACTCTTTCACTTTCTCACTCAAGTCACACTCACTCTCACTCTCTCCCTCTCCCTCTCCCTCACTCCCTCACTCAGAACTTGCAACGTTTTGATCGAATTGTTGATTTTAAGAACGGGTTCAGGGGCTAGTCAAGGCTGATTTGCCCTTCCAGCCTTCGGCTCATTGTGTTCAGGTGGCCAAGTCGACACCGCCAAGAAGAATGCAGGTACCTTTTGGCGTTCTTTAAAAAAATGTGTTAAAGTATCCCTACCCCCTTGAGCTACTTCCGGGAGGGGGGACCTCAAAAAAGTAAGTTACATTTTAGGGTACCCCCCTAGGGGGTCAAAAAATGTAAGTTACCCCCCCCGAGGCACCATCGAAGCTAGTCAAGGGGGGGGGAGGGGGGGGCAAAAAAAATGTAACTTGTTGCCTGGGACGTGCTTACTTACATTTTTCCAACCCCCCCCCTGGGGGGGTCGGCAGATCGAAGGGGGGGGTCTGGAAAATGTAACTTGGGACCTGGGCCTGAACTTACATTTTTTTTACTCCCCCCCCCTAGGGTGCGTTGGCAGATCGAAGATACGCCAATCACTAAGAAATTATTTGCGGGTGGGAGTCACTTAATGAAATATTTTCTAAATAAGTAATTAACTAAAAGTATTATTTGGCAACTGTTTGCTGATGCCTCAACACCAAGGAAAACATAGCCTCCAAAAAAGCAGGACCAGGACACAGGCGAAAGGTGAGATTTGCAGACGTCAAAAATTGTAACTTACAATTAGTCCACGCATCCAAACCCTCAGATTTTACAGGGAGTACATGGGTTCTGTGAGAAAGTTTGACCTCACAAATTGTAACTTACATTTTGGCCACATGCCCAACTCCCCAGAATTTACAAGGAACTGGGGTGTCCCCCTGAGGTACTTACATTTTAGCATACTGAAAAGCACACACGTCCGACCACACGAACCGCAAGCAGGGGGCAAGAAACCAAGGGATCAAACGGCGTTGAATATCCTTGTTCTCCTGCCCAATAGAACAGGCAGCCTCTCCTTTATTATTCTCCATTATTGTTTATTGTGTATGGAGTGTGATCGTCTGTTATGTTTGGGTTTCGCTTTGTTGCCTTCCTTTGGGGTCTTCAGTGGGAACATGATTCCTGTTTCTTGGCAGTTTGCTTTGGGTGTGCTTCCTGTTCTTCTTTGTTGATGATGACTCAGACCCACTGCTGTTCCCTCATCTGCTTTGTTTTTGTGTGGCTTGTTGCTGCAGAAGGAGTTGTGTATGGAGTTGTGTATGGAAGACCCCCCCCGGCCAAAAAGAATTGTAACAAAACAACATATATTATATATATATATCTATTTTTTTGCAGTTCAAAAATGCTAATGATGCAGCCGGCCGCGGGCAGCATCATTCAACTTGATGGCTGACGGCTGACATGTTTCGGCAGGCATTTCCTTGAAATGCCGCATTTGACCATGCGGGACGTGGTCGTGAGCAGAAATTAGTGTGGGGATGGGGGGGTCTAAAATTGTAAGCGCTCCTCTGTGCATCAAAAATGTAACTTACATTTTTGAGGTCATTCCCCAGGAAATCACCCATGAGGCCTCAAAAATGTAAGTTACCTTTTTTGAGGCCACCTCAAAGTTAATGTAATTACATTTTTTGAGGCCCTGCGCGCAGGAAAATGTAACTTACAATTTTCGACGCCCCCCCTCAGGATAGGGTAGGGATGTTAAAGTCTATTTTCTGCTTTTCCGTCTTTTCGTTTGGGACAGAATTTCTCAGGAACGGATCCAAGAGGAGGGCCTCCGCATGCGAACTGATATTGACCAGGCCCCCGAATCTTGGAACGAGATCGTGGAGATCATTGGTGACCATTATCACAACGCAATTGCAGAGGGCCATGAATGAAGATCCGCGTCGGATGGTATTTTGTTTGCCGGCGCAAAAGGCAGCCGCAGCACCAGGAAGAGCAGGCCCCTGCTGCCGCCCCAGCAGCAGGAAATGGGGCGGCGCAGGTGGGAGGCGGCGATCGCGGAAGGGAGGGGGACTGGACAACACACCTACTAAGCATAAATCTGACGAATGCTGTCAACGCCTGGGAGTAGCCACCAATCACCAGGCCCCCCC